GGGCTGTTCTCCCTGAGTCCTAGGCTCCCACCTCAATTCATTCCCCCACACCCCCGCCGCCCCGTGCCTCCCTGGTCCGAGCTGGGAACCCTATCCTGCCCCTCGTATCCGCCCGGCACTGGCCAGAATTGCGGGCATGGCGGTGAAGATGCTGCAGGACTGGTGCAGGTGGATGGGGGTCAACGCTCGCAGTGGTCTGCTCATCCTGGGCATCCCGGAGGACTGTGATGATGCCGAATTCCAAGAGTCCCTCGAGGCTGCCCTGTGGCCTATGGGACACTTTACGGTGCTAGGCAAAGTGTTTCGAGAGGAGCCACCGCGGCCCTGGTCGAGCTCAACCGGGAAGTCAACTATGCTTTGGTCCCCAGGGAAGTCCCCGGCACGGGAGGCCCGTGGAACGTGGTCTTTGTGCCCTGTTGCTCAGGCGAGAAGTTTCTCGGTCTCGGTCGTGTGTTCCACTTCCCGGAGCAACAGGGGCAGATGGTGGAGAGCCTGGCCGGCGCCCGGGGCGTGGGGCTGCGCAGGGTGTGCTGGCTCCGATCCATCGGTCAGGTGGTCCAGCCCTGGGTGGAGATCCTGAGGTACCAGAGCCTGGGCGTGTTTTCCGGGAGGGACCAGCCAGCCCCAGGGGAGGAGTGCTTTGAGGTCTAGCTAGACCACACCACCGATATGCTGCATGTGTGGGAGGGGTTCTCGGAAAAGGAGAGGAGGAGGAGGCTGCTGGAAGGCTTGCGTGGGACCGCCCTGCAGCTCGTGCACGCTCTCCTGGCGGAGAACCCCGCCAGGACGGCGCAGGACTGTCTGGCGGCCCTGGTCCAGGTGTTTGGAGACAGTGAGTCCCAGGTGACCATCCTGGTGAAGTGTCTGACCGCTCAGCAGCAGTCAGGCGAGCGTCTGTCGGCTTTCGTGTTGCGGCTGGAAGTCCTGCTGCAGAAGGCCATGGAGAAGGAGGCCCTGGCCAGAGCATCTGCCGACCGCGTGCGCCTGAGGCAGATGCTCACCAGGGCCCACCTTACTGAGCCTCTGGATGAAGCACTGAGGAACCTGAGAATGGCCGGGAGGTCTCCAAGTTTCCTGGAGATGCTGGGGCTCGTTCGGGAGTCTGAGGCATGGGAGGCCAGTCTAGCCAGGAGCGTGAGAGCCCAGGCACAGGAAGCAGCCAGTGCCTGGGCTGATGCCCAGGCTATTGCCAGAGCCCACACTAAAGTAGAGGCGGTCCTGGCTGGGGGCCAGAGGGCCTCCTCCAGGCAGGGGGCCAGGAGGCTGAGGAGCTCCTCCCGGAGGGGCTCAAGCTGGTCCTGGAGGAATGTGATAACTAGGTTGGGGCTGGGGAGGCAGCCCAGCGTGAGTCCTCCCTGGGCAAATAGGCTCCGAGGACTCCTGGGCCGCCTCCTCTCAGGCAGCAGCGCCCTGGAGACAGGCAGAGGTGGGCCAGGGCCAGTCCCTCACCCCACATGGGGATCAAGGGTCCCCCACTTCCCCCCAAGGGGCCCTGGCCACCACCACCCTCCCAGCAACACCTTCCCGGTCACCTTCCCAGTGACCCAGATGACCACGTTTGATATCAAATGGGGTGGGGGAAGGTGCCCCTCCAGTGCACCCAGTGCCACACCCAGCCCCAGCCCCAAACCCTCCTGCCTCTGAGGGGACCAGCCTGGAGGGACCCCTGAGCGGCCAGCCACGGCCTGGGTGGGGGCACCTGAAGATGTCCGCCCCCCACCTCTTGTCCTGGTTTCAGAGACAAGCTCCTTGCTGAATCACAGCCCAGAGTGTTTGTCTGTGACCCTATGGATGGACATTCGGGTCCTTCCCACTGTTTGGCTGTTGCAGACACTGCTGCCCGTGGCATCCCGCATGCCTGTCTGAGCCACCACCGTCAGCAAGAAAGGCTCTGGGGTGCACAGCCGGCAGTGGCTCTGCTGGGACTTGGGCTGTGCCCATCAACGCCACGACCAAGCATTGCTCATCTGTGACCTCCGGTGCGTGGCCGAACCCATGTTTCCTCCCACTGGCAGCGTGG